TAACTTTAACTTATTAACTCGTTAATGCCCAGCCTTGCAAAAACCTCAGTCATATATAAAATATTTAATACAAATTACAAACCAATCATTTTTTTTTATTTTACTTAAATAATACATTTATAATAATATCACATGGAAATTCACTATTCAGTAGCCAATATACTTAAGACAAATTTAAAAAAAAGGATTATTTGTAAATCGTAGAAAAATCAGGCCAAAAGACAATACAAAAAAAGGTGGGTAAGTGGATGTCGCTCTGCTGTACTGTAGGTTACAAGTGGGTCACTGTATAATGAATGGTATTAAATTTGAATTCAATGATATAATATCATTGTATAAGAAAAACGATTCTGAGCGGAGACGATATGTCAGTCTAGGTATAAGACATATTATATACTTTTCTATGGTATTTAATTATATGGAATTTATGAATAAATTCCTTAAAATATGCACAGTCTTATCATTGAGCATACTTCTTATTCCTTATACTATGGTAGATTGTATGAACAGGCCATAATATTTTGATTTTTCAGTTTCATATAACCCCGAATAATATTTTTAAATTACAACAAAAACAAAGATCGTTAATATTGATTTTAATATGTAATTTCATCCAAATTGGAATTTAAAATGTCTGTAAAAAATAACTGTGTTCATATATTTTTTAGATTTTTTGGTTACCGTATGAACTATTTATGTCTTTGTTTTAAATTTTCAATCCTTAGCTATAAAAACTGAACATTTTATAATTTATTAATTACAATGATTGATAATTTTTGAGATTTTGATAAATTTTGTCAAAATTCGATCTTTAAATGCTTATAAAAAAAAATTGTGCGTATGAATTTTTAATATTTTTCAATTGCTACTGTAACAATATATCAGGAGCCTTGTATTAAATTTTTACACTTTTTGGCCCAACAGATAAAACTTTATTGATATTTATAGAAAAAAAAAACTAAAAAAATTGAAAACTGAAAATGTCCGTAAACAGCTCAAAAAGAGTCAAAATATTTTCAAAATTGTACAGTTTATAGGAAATGCTAATCTGAACATTCAGTGAAATTGTCATGTATCTATAGTTATTTGTTTTTGAATTGCAACAAAATAAGGAAATCGCTACATGAGTAATCAAGTGAATATCCAATGTTGTAAAAATTTGAATTTCAAATGCTCATAAAAATTTAATTTGACTTTCCGGTAGAGATTTTTTTATTGATAAAGGTAGACAAAGTTATGAGTAATCTTGTATTAGATTTTCAAATCTTAGATTAAAAAATAAAAATTTTTACGAATTCTTAACTCAAAATAATTTGCTAATTTTCGTGATTTTTCCATATTTTGTCAATTTTTGAACTTTAAATGCTTATAAAAAAAATAAAATAAAAAATAAAATTTTATTGATATTTTTAGAAAAAAAAACTAAAAAAAATGGATAATGAAAATGTCTCTAAACAGTTCAAAATAAATCAAAATATTTTTAAAATGTTATCATGTATAGAAAATGCAAATATAAACAATCAGTGAAAATTGCATGTATCTACGGTCATTAATTTTAAAGTTACACGAAAAACTAAATTCAATTTTGTGAAAAATCGATTTTGCGTAAAAATTCCCGTTTTCCTTTAATTTTTCTTTTGTTTTTCTTGGCGCTTTTGAAAATTACTGGGAAGTTTAAATTTTGACCTCCCCAATGCACCAACGATATTCACTTTCGAATCGAACAAGATACTGAAGTTGATAATCGAAGCATTATTTCGACTACTTATCGTGTCCACAGACACAAAAATAAAAAAAATAAAAAAAACACACATCATTGTAAAATCAATACATTCATCGTTCCACTAAAATTTCATCTAAAATTCATAACAAATAATATAATATAATTATTTTACAGACATTTCATTATATCAGTTATAAGTGTTTAACGAAGTAATACATTTAATAAATTTAAAATAATTCAAATCAAGTCTAAGCATTTATTTATACATCAATTCATCCTAAAATCCACTATACGCGTCACTTGCACAGTTGGCTTAAAATACTATCATCGTAAGCGAAATTGATGACGATAATTCTAAATTTCAAAGTGCGTTCAATAAATAAATAATAATACATTGGATAATCTATGTTTTCGTTAATTTTTAAGATTTTTTTTTGTATTTTGTTGTATTAATTATTAATATATATTTTTTTTTTTTTTTATTGGATAACCCGCGGCAACATGGGCCATTGGGTGTGTGGAGGGAACTGTAGGTTTTTAGATTGGGTAGGTTGGTACACGAGTGTGTTTGTGGTGGCAGAATTTTTATTGGGGCACCCGTAGGTTTCTGCCATGCCCCGGGGTGGGGGATGGCGGCATTTGTACTCCGGACACCGTGACTTGCCCGGAGAAAAATGCCGCCCAGTGGTCGAGAGTCGAACCCGCGACTGCCAGCGCCGCAGTCGACGCGTTAGACCGCTCGGCCACCTCGTCCCCCTATTAATATATTATAAGAACAACAAACGTGATTAAAAATAATTTAAACAAAAAATATATGACTGTATATTGCAAAACACAAAAAATTGTATCAAAAAATTCCTAATTTGCCAACTAACTATGGTTATAATGAATACGTAATTGATAGCATAGCAAATTATACGACTATATACCGGATAATGTAATTAATTTTTTGGCTTTATATCGTCACAATCTCTTTCTTTATATACCTACTTATAAATGAGATTAATAACCACCTGGTAAACTTTTAATTGAACTTTTAATCGCATCACAAATAATGGGAAATCCAAAACCAAAATCAAATTTAAAATTTCTTAAGCTCGAAGAACAATTAACAATTATTGTTAAAGAAAGAAAACTACAAAAAAATTTTTTAAAAAATATCTATTTTCTATATATACATATGTTACATACCTATTTAACTATACTTTTCAGGTTAAGTGAAAATGAAATTACCCTCATTGACCAAATCAGTATGTTTATACAATAAAATACCAAATCCACTCATTTATTTTTACAGTTATTATTATTAGAAGGTATATAGATAAAATGGTCTATATTTTTTCTTAGAAATTGTGTATGTTTGTATGTATTTTTTCAATAAACTAATTATATTGACACTACTTATACGTATTTCGGGGTTTATTGAAAATGCCATGAATTTGTCCTGTACAATATTGATCTCGTTAGAAGACAATGGGGAGAGATGAACCATTAGCTTAGGAAGTTAAAAAGTGCGCCAAAGGTGAATTTATGAGGGGTAGATACCTCTCTTTCTTGTTAGACGAAGGCCATCTAATGCTTCTTGTTTAATGTTTAATGCTTCTACTGATATTATTATTATAAGTAAATCCATGTAATCAAAATGTAATTCTCGAAATCACATTATGTTTCTGTTTGCTTATAATTTATAAAGAATTCGATATCAATGTTAAATAATAAATTTAAGATATATTCAAAATCTTAATAATGTTTAATAGTTTTTATATACAAAGGTACCTATATCTTATAAGTTAAACTCATAATAGAACCTTGCAATTAAAAGTAATAAACACTATGTACCTACATACTATTATCATGTAACTAAATGAATGACGCTAAAATAGGATATCCGGTTTAATAGTAAAGTTGGAATAATATATTATACTTTGTATTGAATTTTATAAGCAATTAAAACTTTGAATTAATTATTATAAATTATTTATCAAACAGATAACGATATAACATATCAATAATATACTCAGATCACGATGAATATTGATTACAATATTTTATAAGTTACAACATTACGATAACATTAAAATGTAATGTGTGAATAGAGAACCTATAGTCAGTCTTGGGTAGTCTTCCGAATACTTTTATAATACTATTTCCAAAAGTATTTTCTGATGTATTCTGAATACTTTTGAAACTATTCTGAATACTTTATCCGGAATACTTTTATAGTATGAAAATGAAATTGTTTGATTTCCATGTTATTCCCTTGTAGTTGATTTAAAACAAAAATACAAACATTATATTTATAAATAGATAATTTATGATCAAAAATATGTATAGGCTATAACTATAAATATGACCATATTACTAAAAAGAAATTAATGTTTTGCGATTTTTTAGTTATTTTGCTTGAAATTAGTGTTTTGAACAATTTTTGAATGATCCATATTTATTATACGCTGCAGTTTCTCATCCTTATTTTAAAAATGACTGGCTTAATAATGAAGACACAAAAGATAGAGCTTTATCATTTTTTAAACAATCGTGTTTGGGAATGTTTGAACGACAAAATATCTCAGAATCTAAATTTCAGAGAGTGATGATGATACATATAATTTTTTCAACTGGTCCAAAACCAAATCAAAATTATCTCTGCCTTTAGAACAGGAATTATCCAATTTTTTAACCGAAAATCCAACCAAAAATGTAGATTCCTTGATTGATACACTAACAATTCGAAAAGTGTTTATCAAGTTCAATACACCACTACCAAGCAGTGCTGCTGTAGAACGTATCTTTAGTATTGACAGTGCTGTGTTGACTACAAAAGGGGGAAAATGAGTGATAAAACTGATTGTAAATTAATTATAATATTTATTCATTTATAAATTATCACAGTGACATAATAAGCATACACAATATATCTTAACAATAACTACAATTTCCAAAAAGTAAGTATTATTACATTAATAGAGAAAAATATTTTTAAGTATTCGAAATACTTTTATAGTATTAAAAATACTTTATTCGGAATAAAATATTTATCAAGTATTCGAATAGGTACATATTCGGAATACTATTTTTCTTAAGTATTCAAGTATTTATTCCAAATACTTTTCAAAAGTATTTTACCCAATACTGCCTATAATAACAATTATTGAATATAATGATATATAATACTAAAATAATGGATAAATTATAATAGATATTATTTAGGACTTCGGTCTTCGAAATGTCCAGCACTATAGCTAAATGAGCATAGAGCAATATACAAACATTTATTTCATTTTATTGGTCTCTTTATATCGACCAACCAATTAGAAGGGCCCTTAGATTGAACTTTTTTAAGGATCTTTCTGAAAATAGAAAACCAAATGATTCCGACTATGGTGCACACAGCCATTTCTACATAATACCCGTTCACTATAACAACACAATCACCTCCAATTGTTTTACACATCTATAAACAAAAAAAAAAAAAAATAGGAAAGAATATTAATAAAATTGAAAAATTATTATTTTAAATACTTATTTCAACAACACAAATAGTTGTTTAAATCTAAAAAAAAATAGATTTAAAATAGACTGAAAATTGATTTCACAATTTCACAATTTCAAAAAATTAACACAATGAGATAATAGGTATTCGTTAATCGGTTTTGTCTATTTATAATTTTTTATATATTATATCATAATTTATAATGTTTGAATTAACTCTTTATGATTTTTGAATAATTTGCTTATGCTTTCGATTATTACCCTTCATATAACAACTAATTTATATTTGTAATTTAAACATAATAATCACATCTTATTGCTTGTATATATATTTTATAAACCTATCATATTTGCATTACTTACGTTTTTTAGATTTGTTGTAGAGCAACTATTCTGGTGATCTAAAGAACATTGTTTAAACGTTAGGAAATCTATCATTCCAATAGCGACCGAAAACGTCCAAGTTTCTCCCAAATTATAAAATGTATTCAACAATGTCATGTAAGTACACC